AGACAGATATATATATATATATATATATATATGAACGCTGTAATTATTACCCTCAGGGTAGAATGATTAGAATTAATATAAGTTCACTTATAGTTTTTAAAAAATACCACGTAACACCAGGAAGTATTTGTAGTAGGTTGACAATTTTCTGCAGGTTATATGCTATAAATGTTCATCTTTAGTAATATTCAAGCCGAGACTCCTTGCAAAATTAAGATCAGCGTACACCACAGTATCACTTGTTGCTTGGCTGTCTGTTGTACGTTTTGACAGTGATTGTTTCGATATAGGCCTAGTTGGTTCAGAAAGATTACCAAGATTGTTAACCTTATCTATCGACTCTTTAGATTTTGTATTCCGCATTGATCGAGGCCTACCATGGGCAGTGGTCGGTTGTTTCCTGGCCGATTCTGTTGTATTTTCAGTTTGATTCTTAGTTATTTTAGACTGTTTTACAGCAGCACGTTCTACAGGAGTATTTCTTTCTTTTGAATGTTTCATTTTTAAATTTATATTTTTTGTTTTGTTTACAGTTTCCTTTCTGTCAGGTTTTTGGAAATTGTAATCAAAGTTCATTTTCGCTTCTTCAAATTTTCGACCCTGTGCTGTATGTTTCACGTTATCTACACTTGGTTTGGTTTGTGCTGGCTCCTTCGGTTTTGTCTTTCTCTTTTTTGATTTTGACGAACCAACAGGTTCATCGTCCGAAGACTGATCAGTCAAAAGAGTCATAGGAACACCTACGCCATCTTCGATGGCTGACATATCCAAAACCTGCTGGGGCTGAGGTACATTCTCTTTACAATATTTACATTCTCGAAATCTGAACATAAAAACGATTACGATTACAAAGAGGATGATGGCAATAAGGCTGAGAACAGCAACGATAATGTACGGCACGATATTATTGTTACCGTGTCTCCAGTCATTGAGAACCTCTGTGTTCTGGTCAACATTCAGCGTCAAATCACACATTGGGGGGTTGTGCAGGTAGCCTGAAGATAAAGATGCATGGCATACAAATCTTTTGCCGTGATCGTCCTTATTCACTATACTTGTATAACTGTTAATAGAGTGTGTTTTATTTTGAAATGGTGAGCTATTGGAGATAAGTTCATTATCTAAAGTCCATTTAAGTTCGGGCAGTGTAGTACCTAGATCATTGGCAGACGATGTGCAAGCAATTTTGACATTGGCGCCTGATGCGACCCTTTCTGGGTACTGTCGGCAACTTGGGAACCACGTCGATGTCACGACAATGACATGAAGTGCTGCTGTATTTTGAGGATTGTCGCTTTTTGTTGACCCACAGTAGAATTCTCCACTATCTTCTTCTGTTGATGAGGTAATGGATAACGAGGACTTGGAGCTGTCGTCCTGAATTTCGTACCTGCTCTTGTATCCATCGTTGATCTCAATATCTTCTGCACTGCCTATTCCTTTTTTGAACCACAGTATCTCATCGCCGGTATCGCTGTTGCACTCGAGGCTGGCCGTTGTAGTAGCTATGGCAGTTGAATTTGAAGGGTGAATCACAAAATTGCATTCACATTTCGGCAAACATAGCGAAATAATACTTAAAATAAATGTTGTATAAAACAGAGTGTCACCAACCGTCTTCATTTTTCCTCAGCTGTAACATTAAAAAAAATCAACAAGTTTAGGCCTAAGCCACCACGTCTCGAGATTAAATTTAAGAACTAAGCCTAACAGTTTAAAATCATTCAAAACCCCAATAGGCTTAAGACATTGAAAATACTATGAGTAGACCTATTATTGTTTGATTAACAGCCTTAACCGTCTATTACAATACTTACAATAAGCCTACCAAAGCAGTCTGCGTATTTGAATGTAGTCGATGGTTCGTATCGGTTTTTTTTTCTTTATGTCTCATATTCCTATATCTGTCGCCTCGCCCATCCTGTAACGAGAAACGTTACCATCGAGTACAAAGCACGAAAATGATTTTACAATTCAATTGACATCATTCATCCGTAGCAATGCAAACTCTTTTATAAAATTAGCATATCGGTTTCAGTGTATACGTCCTTTGTTATACGATGAAAAGACCTGTTATTCGCTATCCATTGGCCTGTCAAGTTCTCTCGCTTTTACCATTTTGTACTATCATAATCAATTTTTGGTACGTCGCTCTTTTAGCCTGTTGTAACGAATTTCACGCAAGCAAAACGGATCGGTTTAAAATACCAGTTCAAAGACCTCTGCATTAGATTATGACCAATTTTCATAAACTGTAGCATTCTAATTTAACAGTATTTAGGCCTAATATGATTTATGTTTTGACAATGGTTAAAGGCGTTACTGTTGTATATTGATGTCGCAATATCAAACGCATGGTTTAAATGTTGTAAAAATCCTCACACATTGTATAATATGATATTAAACTTAATTATAATAATTCATTCATTAATAATGATTTAATAGACAACGAATAATTATATTAATTAAATGGTATTGAGTGTTATTACATTATTGTGGAGTGTTGGATAGCTTGTGGTTAATACGTTTCCAACCCCAGTGTAGGCGTGTAGGCTAATGATTCAATTCCTGTAACGATAACAGGTGTGGTTTCTCCGACCAAAAACGACCAAAAAACTCCACTCCCAAAGCCTCATAACAAAGCTTATATATAATAATAATAATAATAATAATAATAATAATAATAATAATAATAATAATAATAATAATAATAAATGGTATATTATTATACTAAAGCCTGATATAATATAAATATTAATAATAATAACAGTAGGCCTACTATTAATATTGATGCTATTAAAAATAATATATATAATAATGACGATAATGAAAAAAAAACAAGAAAATAATAGCAATATCGTGATAATGTGATTAAAAAAATAGTTTGATGATTATTAATAAATATTACAGTAGTTTGGTAATTGTAACGATTTATTAAGCTCGGGCCACATATAAATTTTTAAAGGTTCTTACATAGCGTGTTCTTTTCTTATCATTTCATAGCCTGTTACTTTCATTTTCATCCCTAAGCCTATAATTTTTCTTACCTTTTGTTTCTATTTCCTTCCTATTTCATTGTGTGTTTCCAAATCTTCCATTTCTTTCCTATAGTTTCTTATCTTTCCTATTCCGTTCTTATAATTGCCTTATCATATCTTTCATTTTTCTTTATTCTTGTCTTTCTTTCGTTATCCCTTCTAATGTTTCCTTATCTTTCTTTTCCTTGCCCTTTCCCATGGAGGAATAAAATAGACCCTTTCTTGTGTTTGCACTATCCTATCTCTCCTGTTCCTTTCTTAGTTTCCTTATATTTCCTATCATTTCCTTTCTTATAATTCCTTATCTGTTTTTAATTTTTCATTCTTATATATCCTTATCATTTCTTTCCTTTTCCTTTCTTATGTTTCCGTGTCTTTCCATTCCTTTTCTTTTTCTTTCTTATGTTTCCTTATCTTTCCTTTTCCTTTTCCATTCTTAATTTCCTTATCTTTTCTTTCCTCTTCCTTTCTTGTATTTCCTTATCTTTCTTTCTTTTTACCTTCTCATAATTCCAAATAATTTCTTTCCATTCCTTTCTTATGTTTCTTATCAGTTCTTACCATTTCCTTTCTTATGTTTTCTTATCATTTCTTTCCTTTTTCTTTCCTATGTTTAACTTACCTTCCATTCAAACAAAACAAAATAAGAAAGAGCAATGAAAAGGCAGAAACGTTTGTAGAGCATCTCGTGGGATGTTTGCCTTCTGATGGGATTGCCACTTTAAAGAGTGATGAAGGTCACTGTTTGATACATCCTTGGCCCTATAATTTGCTTAAAGCTGATTTATATATATATATATATATATATATATATATATATATATATGGTATAGGCCTATATATATAATGTATATATATATGTATATATGTGTGTATATATATATGTATATATATAAATAGACCTATATAATTTAATATTAAAGTTATTATTAGCAAAAATAAATTATAGACTTAACATAATAATGCAATTCGTTATTCATTCATGTATATCTGTCAATATATTATCTTAGTAGTCATTAGTCAACTAACGTTATTTGTGACAGTGGTTTAGGCTGCTTTTGTACTTTGCTGGCAGCTAATGACTGGTATTTTTAATGTACCTGTTAATGTTATTTTCATTTGATTTATTGATATTTTGCCTGAATAATAACAATAATCATAATAATAATAATAAATAATAATAACAATAGTAATAATAATAATAATAATAATAATAATATAGGGTATATTATTAAACTAATAGCCTGATATAATATAATTATTAAAAATAACAACAGTACTATTAATATTAATAATAATTACAATAATATAAATTATAATGACGATAATGATAAAAAAAAAATAGCGATATCTTAATAGTGTATGTAATTTATATATGGCCTAGGCCTCATATACAAACATATATACCTGTACATTATAAACAAATATACACACCATGTAGGTCTATATGGATAATAAAATAGTACTTCAAAATTAGACCTAGATCCGTATAGTTCATTTTCAACATATGAAATAATATCCGAATAAAAAATCTGTGTTGGACCTACGTTTTCTAAAGAATTAGACATTGGATATTAGTTGGTATTTTTTGTACCGATGACGATAATGTGTGTTGGTAACACTTAAATAATTGATTGAGAGTGTATGAATAACAGAGATCATTAACGTTGACATCAATTGTTATATGATTCGTCTGACTGAGGACTATCCAGGATATGCCCATGCCCTATGTGGTAATAATTGCACAGACCCATATTAATTGTAATATATTACCAAAGCTCGTCAATTCTTTACATTAAATTCTATGGTAAATTCTCTACTTTTGGATCAACTGAGTCCTTAATGTAGGCCTATTAATATTTAATAATAATTAGATATATAACCATCTAACTCTTGTAGTCGTTTAATCATATCTATGTCGATCACTTCAGTTTTCAATTTAATCCATTTTTAGGTAATTTCGTTTGTGTAATTTGCCGGACCATTTTCATTTCGGTAATTCCAATTCATTTGTGTTTTCATTTGGTTAATTCCTTTCCATTTTAGTTATCGTTTGGATAATTCCGTTTCATTTGGTTCAGTTCATTTCCTCACCCAAGCCTCTCAAGTTCTTACATTACTATTTATTACGAAATTCTTTAGTATTATTAGTCCTTTGTGTTATACATTGCATGCTATATCATTTTTTAGTTTTCTATCACTATGCTGCGGAGATATTTTCTGCGGTTGTCGATAGGTCAGTTATTATATTTCGTTAATTTAAAACGACAGGTTGAAACTTAATGAACGTTGACACAATTTCCTTGGTTGAAAATATATTCGGCAGACTATAATTAAAAGTAGGCTATATAGGCCTAATATACGAATCGTATGCCTATTCCATGGTTAATAGCTTTAATAACATTATAGAGCTCAAATAAGACGAGTGTGACAACATGTTAACCAAAATTTAATTTTAATATTTAAAAATTGTAAGACATAAAAATAGCTTAATTTTAGCTTAAAATTATTATAAATGCACATAAGGTAAATAGGCTACTGTAAAATAAGCAGTATTTGACACAGTTACGGAATACCCACGTATGCCTATGGTATATATTTATGAGCATATGAAAATCGAAATAGACGGAATACAAAAATACTCATAGTCCTAATATACACATTAATTATTTTTAATATGCGAACAATATTCATTATACTAAGATTTATTTACGAACTATAACTGGCATACACTAGGAAATACCATATACGGTATTTGTCTGTCTGCCAATGAAAATTTCATACCACAAGCCTCGCTCCTTGGATATTGCTGCTAAGGCCCAACAAGCGCAAGCGTAAACAGGGGCGGATTTATGATTGGCCGGGCTGCCCCTCCCCCGTTTTTGGAAATAAAAAAAAAAGGGGAAAAAATAAATTGATCGCCCAAAACGCATTAGAAGTTATTTTTGTGTGTCTAGAAAACAAAGATTTCGCGGGGGCATGCCCCGTACCCCCAGGGGTAGTGTTATCTCGATCGGCCCCACTTTCGGACATCTCTGGATCCGGCCCTTTGTAAACGCAAGTAAACACGTGAGTTTGTGGACAACGCATGCGTTTATGGGATAAGCGCGTATATTCGCCTCACATTCAACAGATGGAAAAAAGCACACGAGTCGTTTGATTAGATGTCTGAATCCACCTTGTAATTTTTGATCAAGTTGAACATTTTTGATTCTGGCAGACAAACGATGATACGTGTATATATTGTTTTCAGTGTATTTCTTTTTCCAGAAAACGACTGATTCTTTTGTGTTTTAATAAAGCGGTGTATCATTCAATTCATCTTCGTCAGGTGAATAAGCACTATTTTCAAACGTGTTAACATCATTTATATAGTCATTGCTTCGCACAGACGATCTATTGTCGGCTCGATCAGTACCAGTCGATCTCGCGGAAGCACGACTCTTTTTGGATTCGTCCCGAACTAGGTTAGCTTCAGACCCTCCACTGAAGTTATCACTATCAAACCCGTCGATAATTTCATCATTGTTCGTCATTTCTTGCTGGCGCATGGATGTAGGCCGCGAATCGTTCACTTGGTAGCGTAAATTCTTATCATCGGAAGCATCGTCATCTTTCTGACAACAGCAGACAATAATCAGACAGACGAATAGGAAAAATAGCAAGCATCCACCGGCTATGATTATAAAGAGGATGTAGGTATCAAATGGAAGTAAATTATCTGATTCTTTTATGGTAATACTATCGTTCCTGGAACCTATACTGTTTCGCGCATTGCATGTAATGGTTTCACCAATGTAACTCTCGCGCACGCCCGTAAACTTCAGTTCAGCGCCGTTTACTTCGGCTGTCGAAATCTTTGTTTGATAGTCCCAGGTAACAGAGTCTTCCTGTGGGTTCGCGTTTACATCACATGTCAATGTAATCACTTTGTTGTCATCGTTACCATCAATTAACAATTCAGATGGATATATGCTCACAACCGGCGCAAAAGTAACCTGAATATTGATGGGGGAAAAGTCACAAGAAAAACTCCCAATTTCAGTCTTATCTGGATGCAGTACAATGCATTGGAACCTAGCGTTGTGATCAACGGAAGACATTGTAAATATAGCTGTCTCCGTGACGGCATCACCAGCTATCGATGTTGAACTAGAAACAACCTCATGACTGCTGGTCTCTCGGATCCTGACAATCTGAAGAATCGCAAGCGGAACGCCACCGGTAATCGTACATGATATGTTCACCACATCACCTTCATTGTTGTCTTTCGTCAGATTGCCGTTATTGCATGTTGCCGGGCCACTTGGTCGGTCAGTGTTGTCCCTAACCATCGTCAGTTCAGCTTCTTTCATCATAGTCATACTTCCCTTGACAATCAGACAGGAATACTTTCCTTTGTCTGTAATTTTAGTATCCGATATTTCCAAGTTGTAAATACCATTCGAGGAATCGCCTGTGATCCTATATTGCGGGAATGCTGTTGGATTCCTGTTAGTGAAAGGGCCAATGGTTGCCACGTCTCCAGAGTTACTGCCACTAGGCTCAAAGTGCCAATATACTTCCTCATCGTCTCCGATAGATACGGTGCATAAAAATCTAGTGGTCGCACCTCGTGCGCTTGCCGCATCACTCGGGTCGACCACGAACGATCCACCTGCTGACGTATGAATGAAATAGGCCAGGCTTAGCATAAATATTAGTATCTCACGAACTGCCATTTTGATATAATTCTGATGAAGAAAATACTCGATAATCAAAGTAGGATGACACTTGTCATGTCGCCCAAAACAGAATGATTTCCGCCGTTGATATTCCAAGTGATTGGTTTATTAAATAGGGATTCGCTTGATGATTTTGCTGGGTGTGGAGTTAACAATAGTCTAAAAAAAACAGCCTTTCAAATAGGATTAGCCCACTCGTTAGTTGGGGCTCGCTTGTTCCGACTAGCAAATGTATATTATTCATTTTGTTACTAAATATCGTAATTAAACAGAGGTAAAATTTCAAAATTTCGTGTAGATGTTTTGACATGCTCTGCGTCTTATTAGGTGTATGTTCATTGAAATATACCGTAAAGGAAAATGAAGAAAAAGAATGTCGTGTAGACCTACTAGAATGGAACATCTCTAGTTGGGCTAAGGCGGTTCATGGTATTTGAATTCGTTGAATGGCAATTCTACACTGTGCCTTTATTTCAATAGACGCATGTTTGCTTAACAATGAGTCAACCAGAAGGCGGAGGTATTGTTGTTTTGGAAATACTAATTCTTTCTGTGTACTTGAATCTTCAAATATTGACGACCAGCAAACTGAAGTAGAAACAATAACCGCCCTAAGTTTATTTGGAAGTATTTCCCACATTATTCTGAAAGAAAATGAAAGTAAATCTACAGGGTGAATATTTTGGATACATAACCATTGCAACGCCTTTCCAAGAGGCATTGTTATTATTGTTGTGGTCTACTTTTAATAAATTATATATGAATATTGTTATGAATGTGTATGTATGCAATGTCACTGAGACAGTGAATATGGAAGGCAATCGCCGCCAAAAATAAAAATACAGTTACAAACGAACAACCTACTCGCAAAAACGTACAACCTACTCGCAGAAACGAACAACCTACTCGCAGAAACATACAACGTAGACGCTGTAAAGGACAACGTTAGACTTGCACAGAAACGTACAACGTATTAGCAAAAACAGACAACAAAAGACACTCACAGAAACGAACAACCTACTCACAGAAACGAACAACGTAGTCGCAGATATGGACAAAAAAGGACAACGGAATCGTCCATTTCAAGATAGGTCAGCAAAATATCGCATCTTAAGGCTGAATGTAATTTTCTTCCTAAGCATAGCCCCCTTTATAATACTTACCTTTCAATATATGAGAAGCTCGTTATTTTAAGCCATTTTCTCCCAAAACACCGATGGACAATGTGACCACTGCTTGGGATTTTTAATGGCACCTTGGTATCTTTGGATTTTTTGTTAAATTTTCATTAGATCTTGGGATTTTTTGAATGATATGGAATTTTAAAAGTGAACAAATAGGCTGCTACAAGACAGATGTGAATAAGGGTTGTTTGTTTGTTAAAAATGAGACAAATTGGAAGCTTAGTAGATTGAAAGCTGTTGTTTAAAGCCATTTTCAAAGCCATTCTCCAAAAAATAATAAGGTGCATTTTAAAGTTAAT